GAAAAAGTGGAACGTTTTTGAAACGCTTATAACTCGACAAGGAAGCAAAATTTTGAGGATTGCTTAGATACCATTCGGAAGAGGATCTCGAGATCCACAAACCCAGCGAAAAACGTTAAAAGAAATTTTCCACCCCAAAATAGAATTTTGTAAAATTTCTCTAATTTTAATTAATTAGGAAAGTATTTTGAAACATTTTTATTTTCACATAGGTTTGTTGCCCCAACTGTTCTCTTTCGATTGGCGAAAACTCCAGATCGCTATCTTTTGCTGTTAAAAAGTTATTCCAGAAACATCCACCTGCACGGTTCATTGAAATGGATGATAGTTGTACAGATGCACCTAACTCTCGTTACGAAAGCGACACTAATGACCAAGAAAAGTTTTTGATTTACTTTTATAATTCGAATATTTGGAAAATATACTAACATCTACTAACACTCAAAAAAGACATAAACACGTCTCTATCTTTCTGAATTGATAAGTATAAATGTAATCCAACATTGAGAGTCGAGAAGCGTGTAGCTCGTGTCTTTTTTGGATATTAGCGAATGCATATTTTATGAGTATCCACCAATTCTAACCCGTTTTTCATAGAATCTTGGCAAAATTGAACCAGAGTCTGTCAGAAGCACATCAGTTCTATGTTAGAATGGTAGTATTTGTATTCTTTCTATGAATAGCAGTTCTTGGTTCAGTTCTACCTGAATTGAGTGGAACTAGAGTATAACAACTAGTCGCTGAATTCTGACAAATCTAATTTTCTAAACAGTATCATTGCTTGAATAGATCGAATTTTGACAAGTCTAGAAATTTCCAAAGATTTCCGAAACCTGACACTGCTGTTACGAGATGAGACGAAACGGAATATTTTTTTGAACTGTTTGATGGGACGCCAAAGCACCCCACCCGTCTCATGTCTTCAACTTGTTTATTTACCTCCAGATCTGTTTCCATAAATTCAAATACAAGACAAATACTCGGATTTGTTGAACCATGTTCGCCAAATGTATCCAGAAGCTAAAATATAAACTATATTTATAATAATTACAATTTCATATTAAATTATAATTTTATTTAAATATTATAATATATAAATTATTATAATAATATTTATAAGCATATATGTTNCAGTTATCAGATCTTACTTCGATCACATTTGGATGTTTTAATTCTTGAAGAAATTTAATTTCACGCAATGCTGTTCGATTTATACCATCAGAGGCTTCTTGACGATTTCCAATTTTAATTTTTTTCACGGCAACCTCATCATTTGTTAATGTATCTTTTGCTTTATAAACAACAGCAAACTAGAATATCAGCATAACTGTAGACGCTAATAATAGCTTTAAACATTCATAGTCATACCTGTCCTTCACCAAGTACTTTAACAAAATCATATCGTCTTGCTTTTGTTGACATTCTGAAAAACAAAACGCAAAAACGTAAAGATTTTGTATCAATAAAATAAGTTTAATCCCTTGATGAATATATACATACAGGCTGTTTCAAAAGTCACCACCGAAAATAAAATGGCTGTAACTTATGGACTTAAGTATATCTAACCCAGTATTGGCTTGTAATGACGACGGCCCAATGTTACAGATTCAGAGGACACCGCCAGATAACTAGCTATATCTGCCACCCTATGTTTTCATATTCTGAAGGCATGGTCAGATAGAACTAACTCTAACGAACAAGAATATGACTAAATGGTCTGTGGGATCAGGATTGGTTTTAATAAATTCAGAAAAGATTTCTACATAAACTAAAACCAAGTGATGGCATAATACATCAGCTTTTGACAGGAAAAAGTTCGTCTTTTTTGAGTGTGCCATTTGTGGGTGAGCGACCATTTACATTAAGTGACAATTTTTTTATAGTATACTATTTATTTGGAGTCAGTATCAAAAACTGAGTCCAATGATATAGGTTTCGAAAAATATTTTTCATCAAAACTAGACGTCTACATCCCTCCAGGTCTTTTTTCGATAAATTTCGCTTTTGGTTCCCCAAGATAAAAACATTTTTCGAAAAAGCCTATGTTATTCGACTCAGTTTTTGATGCTGATTCCAAATACATGATGGTTTTTGATAGTGTAAATGGCAAAATACGAGTGCATTTTGTTGTTTTTTTGACAATGGTTTCAGAAAAAATCATATACAGGATTCTCATTCTCTTTGTGGTTTAGGAGAAAATCGTTACTTAATGTAAATGGTCGCTCGCCCACAACGGGCACACTCATAAAGGAACGAACTTTTCCTGTCAAAAGCTGATGTATTGTACCACCACTTGGCTTCAGTTTATGTAGAAATCTTTTCTGAATTTATTAAAACCAACCCCCTTTTTCTTAAGATTGCTTGCCATTATAGGGCGTGGTATTTGAATATCCGGATGCCATACCATGCCCTATAATGGCAGGCAATCTTAAGGAAAATTTTCCGAATTGATATATGAATTAACTATGACACCAATTGCTTGACGTCAAAACGCGTTCGCGCCAGTGGAAGGGTTAAGTCCATAAGTTATAACCATTTTACTTTCGGTGGCGACTTTTGAAACACCCTGTATTTTGTCTAGTAGCTAGAAGAACGTAGGACGATTCTCACTAGTCAGTCGTTATTCATTCAAAATAAAAACAATATAAAATTTTTGTCTACTTCTTTTACTTATACATACAAATAAATACTTCATACTTTCAAATATTTACTTCTTACTTTGTATAAAAATATTTTTATGCAAAGATACTCTCTTTCTATCATGTTTTTTTCGCATTCTTAGAATGCGCGTGTGCTCGGTGCTAGCACAAAATAACAAAATAAGAAACAAATTAATAATAATAGTAACACAGAGTTGAAAACAAAAACAAAAATTAACAAAAATAATCAAATCATACATTAGTTGTGTTTTTAAACAAAATCTTGAATTTGTGCACTGTTTTGATGATACAAACACAAAAGAATACTATATAGTTTTGCTGTGAGAACAACGACCATAAAAAAAAACAGAGAATAAATAAGATATACCGGTTATATTCTAATCTAACATAAATAAATAGAAAAATTATTACCAGTTACAAAAAAAACAAATAATGAAAAATGAACTGAGTTAATCCCTTCCGTTTCAAATGCAACGATAATCGAGGTAAGAAATATAGTAAAAAAAAAACAGGTTGAAGTCAAATATAAGAGATTGTACCATAAACTAAATAGATCGTCGCCAAATGCGCAATGTTAGATAAATACATACATTTTTAAAAGATAGTCTATAAATAACTAGTGTCCCAAGAATATCTATCCAGAATCATAATGAATATATACAAACTAAGCTAGATTATTTGAGAAATAGCAAATATCAAACTAGTGATTGAACGATATGATTGAGTTTTAAGGACGAAAATTTTGTACTTGACGTCGAACTAGTTCATGGATTTCCTATAAAAGATACAAACATAAAAAATTTTTAATGAAAAATTTTATGTTTATTATTAAATTTACCGGTGGTCGACATGATTCTTCGACCCATCTGAGAATGGTATTCATCATATGTTGACATGATGGCATGCTAACGGTTTGAACAGCTTGATCAAAACTGACAAATATTGAATCGGCTATATTTTGAAACTTAACGAGAAAAGAAGAGGTTAGAAGTAAACGAACAATGGGAATGAATCGAGTGTACATACTAATGTAAATTTATGTTCATCATCGAGCGTAGTGTCTCTGGCGTGTTTTGATGAATTCATATTCATTTTTACGATATCTTCATATGTTCTAAAAACAAAGGAGTTCGATTGTTTTGATATGCACAGATCTCTAACTATTATTATTTTTAGCAATACGGATGGATTCTAATTTCTTACTTTTGCATTGTTCTTAAACAAAATGCTTCGTTTCGAAGTGCCTCTAACTGATGATTTAATTTTTGTTTTTCTTCGTGTAATTGTTGTAAATAATCCGTTGCTATAACAGAAAAACAAATTAGCAAACGGTGTGTAATTAATATGTACATAATGAGTAGTAAACCGTTTTTCATTCTTATGGATAGATTTCTGATAAATGCACTTACATCGTTTCAATATAGCAGCTTTGCTAACTTTTTGTGAACTTATTGGATCCAATAAATGACTGTTTGGAACAAGACTTTGTAAGGCATCGTAACCTTTCTATAAAAAACAAATACTATCGATAAAGCCAAATTTGAGAGAAGAATTATCACGATGTACATTGTATTTATTTTTTTTTTATTTTTTTATTAGAAGAGTATTAAAGCATGAGAATTAGACAACAGAAACCTTTAAAATACTTCTCTTTCTTACTCTTATAGCATTTCGTCGTTTTTGTTCTGCTGCCGTATGAGCAGCTCGTCTTCGATTATCATCTCGCTTTATTGATTTTCCATTTGTCACATGTCCATCTTTATTTCCATTAGTAATAGCACTTCCAACACCGTTTATACTTCCAGTATTCGAATTATCACCGTCCTCTTCGTCTTCATCATCACGATCGTCTTCATCTGAAAAATTTATATAGTTTTCGTCATTCAAATACATAACAACAGCAAAAATAAGTATTCGTTTTTTAAATAAAGAAAAATTTACAATAATTGAAAAATTGAACGAAGATATTTCTGTTGAATTTATTGTGAAAAAAAGTATATATTTACCTGTTTGATAATTTGAATTTGGTTCAGTGCAATGCTGTCGTTTTGGTGGTGAATTAATATTTGTTAATGATGTATGTCGTTTTAAAGGTTGAAAATTATTGTTATTAAGTAGTGAGCCATCATTTGGCGTATCTGAAGCATAAAACTGAATCACTAAAATGAAAATAATTTCTGTTTAATTCTTATACAATTAGTGAAGAAAATAACATATACCTGGATATTGATCATTAACTGACGTGCTTGTAGAAAGCTATAAAAATACATAAGAAAAATATTTTCTTTTCGTACATCAACAAGATCAATCACTAACCTTTACTTGTTTTGGAAAAGAGCTTGATTGCCAACAGTTAAAATTATGACTATCCATTTCTTTTTTATATAAGATATATTTTTTTAGATAATAAATAGAATGATCATTAAGAAATACAGAAAATTAAAAGAAATGAGGAAAGTGTAGTTAATTTATCTAAAACAATAAATTAATAAGATCCCATACTAAATTTTATCAATGATAACAAGAGTTTAAAAGATAATGCATAGCTAGATTCTTAACAGAATCCAGTCGTATTAGCTAAACGATTATAGATTATGTAGGATAGTGGGGAAAGATCATTCACAGAATTAACAGTCTAATTCTTTCAAAGCTCCAGTTCTACAAATCATTATATGAACTATATATTAGAGTTAGCTAACAGATCCAAAAATGTAAATGTAAATGTAAATACAGTTTCGATATTCAGATAAATGTATACGTACATTGTATGATGTTTTCAGAGTTTACGTAAGATTCAATGATTCGAAAAGTTTGTGTGAACGGAGTAAAACGATTTTTAAATCTGAAACTAAAGAACATATCAGATAAAGTAACACTGCGGGTGATAGGAGACGACTATTTCCGTAGAAGCTTTAGATGCATTAATTTATGTCCATGAGCAGTAATCTTCCTTGAAATGATGGAGGCAATTTCGATGCGCACAATTATCACACAGTTTCTAGTTTGTGATATTCGTCTCGTTACATTATCGCAATCATTAGTCTTAGCAATCAAGAGTCTTAGTCTTCTTTCTTCTTTTTATAATGTTCTTTGTCCTTATTATTCTTCCTTACGTTGTCCTCATTCTGAATTATGTTCGTATTCCACCTTCTGTAAACGAACAGTTTCGTCTTCCTTCTTTTATTCAACTGTCACTGACTGAAATAATCTTCCAGAATCAGTCATTCGTTCTTCTTCGTTATTATCATTTAAAACAGCTTTATCTCAGCATCTTTTCAGTAGAACATAGCCATATTTACAGTTAAAACAAACTCAGTGCTGTTACTCTTTATTTTATTTTGTTTGTTTATTCTTTTTATTCTTCCTTCACTATCTCTCTATTTTCGTACACTGGTTTACTTTTTATTTTTATTTTTCTACTTATAGATTCTTGTTGTTGTTGTTCATTGTTTTATAGGTCGGGGACTTTTGATGACTCTCACTTTTTGTGAATAAATTCGTTCATTCATTCATGATCATACATATGAAGATTTCTCGATATCTGGATAAGTTTTCCAAGATAAAATCAAATACTAATTCCAATGTCTCGGAGGGATCATACAACAATAATTCAACGGTTCCACTTTGACCCATGGGCGGGCCGGGAAAGCTTTTTTACAGGAGGTAATAAATTTTTTAGTCTAGTGCATACACAAACGTGCCTTCATAATTGTTGTCCGTAATAACATACTTTTCCTTCCTTTAAACTGTACATCAAATTTTTCGATCAAGAATTGCTTTCTTTATTTTGAACTTCGGACAGATACTCTGCCGCGAAATATAATTCAATAACTGATATTTTTTTTCAAGAGGGGCAATTGCAATTGCCCTGCTGGTGACTAGCCAATGCTCTGATCGGGTGAGATATGAATTATATCAATACAACTTCTGTCGTATTCATAATCATCTTGTACAATTTCTTTGGAGAATTCGTTTGGGAAGAAGGAAAACCAGGCGTGCTTGTCAATTATTACCGACAGAGAGTGGCAACGTAGTCAGTTAAGCAGTATAAGAGAAAAATATGATAAGTCAACAAACGAAACAGAGCATAGATACATGACTCATATTCTTCATCATTGCAGCATCAAGGAGCCGATCGAAACGCATATATTTACCTTTCGATTTTGTTCAAAGTATAAAGACAGGTCTCTCGAAAGGAAAAGACAACAACGAATGATCATTTATGATGCTGTATTATATGTTTTTCTTTCTGTAAACATCACTTTGCCGCCATCTGCTCATATTAGCTTGATTAGCTGATTACTGGCCTATGCGTGAAAAGGGACTAGAGTTAGTTAGTACTCAATATATATTTATATGTTAAGTACTATTAATTAATTATATATTTTACAAAGCACTAATATAATATAATCGACCACCAAAAAAGGGATTGATACGTTAGGCTAAAACACTGTACCCCGCTGTTATATTAAGAACAGCATGACTGTACGCTAACACTAACGTTTCATGCCTAGTGTATCGTAACGCAAAAGAAGCCATACACGAGATTCGTATCAAAGTCACAGTAAAAATGTTCTTTTTTGGTTACATCAAATTTTTCCTCTTGGCTTCAACATCTTCACTGGGATATCGGAGTACCTGACGGTTTTATCAATGGGTAAAAGCACATTCCGGAATTTAAACAAAATTTCTGGAATGTCGGTATGTTAGTTTAGAATGACGGACTGGCATTCTAGAATAAGAGAAACTTTTTTGTTTTAGTTCTAAATACGAGCAAAAACACTTCATTATTTCGGGCTGAATTAAGTGCCGTATCATAACCTCGAACCTCTAATATTTCGTTTGCTACCGGATCGGTTACTTTCTCAACAAAATTATTAAAATGTATACCCTTTAATTCCAACACATCGTTTAAAATAAGATTTTTCATTTCTTTTATCGTTTAATTGTGTTCAGTGATGAGAAAATATGTTTTTAAGAATGAGATCGAGTAATAACTGTACAAACTTACAGATTAAAACAAAGGAAGCGTTATATTGAATCAAAGTAGCAGAGAAAAGAATTTGTTACTGTATGTGAGTGCATACACTACTTTATTTCTTGTATTGATTGTTAACACACGCTAGAACGTGCGCGTATTGAAGAAAAATGCATGCAGAAAGAAGAAAAAACGTGCAATATATTAAAATGAAATATTTACTTTCCCTGGTAGTTTCTCTTACCTATTATTACCATCTGAAAACTAGACTAAAAGCTTGGCTTCTAAAAAACGGATTGGCATTCTAGAATAGATGTATTCTGGAATGTGTACATTTGCCGTGTAGCGCTATTCTCTCCTTTGTTTTTACCGTCAATTTTTCTTCGTGCTTTTTCCTATCGCATTATGATCTCATCTGTTTGCCGTTTGAAACAGCAGATGCCGCGTCTTATTACAATTGAAGATCTTTTGGTGTCATGTTCTTTCATTAAATGATACGAGTTTTGCATCAGTGAACTTTTGCAAACAATTAAATTTTGTTTTTATACTGTTATTAAGAATCTGTAATTATTTTTTCTAGATATTAACTATTTTCTGATGGCAAATCGTTGGAAATACATGGGAGAAGAAGTTAGAGTCAGTAAATGATTACTTTGATATCCTTTATCTGTAAAATCTAACGTTGTCACGTTTTTACCTAGGGTTGGTTGCCCGCAATGCCAGAGCCTATACGACAACTTGTTTATAAACACGATAAATCAAAATGGACCAAGAACGGTGAATACGCTCGATTACCCAAACATTATAAAAAACGTGCGATTGAGCAAATATACGGTGAAAAAGAACCGGTACACTATG